TTGCGTCCACTCCCCTCTCCCCTTTTTGGAATCTACGCTCGCTGACACCTTCTCACCTTGGGGCCCTGCCTGTGTTGCCTTCAGACACTTCAATAGTTGGAGCTGGTCTTCAACAAGTGACACCATCAGGTATTTGTCCTCCTCCTCATTTATGTTGTTTAGCATAATCTCATCCAGTTCTGCCCATATTGTACACATGACAAAGAATATAATTTTTAAAAAGAGGGTTTTGGAGGTGTGAAGATGTGGAGAGGTGATCAGAAACCACCAACTTGTTGCAATTTCAAAAAAAAAAGGGGGGGGAGAGTTTAGTGAGGAAATAAAGTCAAGAAATGTAAACCAGTCACTTCCTTGTCCTGTTGCACAGAGAGGGAAAAAACCATGAGAGAGGCAGATGAGTGACAAACATAGCAGGGTAAGTATTGTGGGATGAAGGGAAGAGAAGGGGAAAATCAAAGCAGGAAGGGAGAAGCAATACAGAGGTAGGGATCGCAGAAGAGTCAGAGAGAAGGAGGAGGAGGGAGACGGTTCATAAGGGAAGAGGAGGATGAGAGAGAAAAAAAGAAAGGAGAGATAGAGAAGATTGAAAATCCAGGAAGCACTAGAGGAAATGAGAGGTCCTATTGAAGAAAAAATGAAGCACATGCCATCAGTCGGGGACTGGAAAGCAGATGTGAACACAGCAATCCTTGAGAAAGGAAAGAAAGATGCTAAAAATAAACATGCTCCCACAGTATGGCAAAATGCAGAATGGGTCTAATGGAACTGTATTAACAGTCATGGCAAAATAGCAGCATGATGAGGGGCTATCAGTTACCCCGTCACTCTGCCCCTCATTCACAGCCCTACATACTAGTCATTTTCTGTTGCTTGGGTATGCATTACCACATATACAGAAGAGATAAAGGTACGGAAATACTTGATGACATGTAAAAATATTATTTGTCTAGTGAAGTTGTCTAGTTGTCTAGTGTTCATTTTCCCAGGTTTTAAAATGAGTGGGTTCATTAGAAGGCAACGAGACAGTAAGGCTCACCTGATTCCACTGTTCACAGATGGCCATTGTTATGTCATTTAGTGCATTAACTCCCAGAGAGCAGAATGAGCAGAGAACTGAAGAGGAGAGAAACGGAGAAGAGGAGGAGAAGAAAGAGGAGAGGGAAGTGGAGGAAAAAACAGAATTTATTTTACCTTGGGCTAAAAGGTGCATATTATCATGTTATCTTAGAAGCTGGGCTAAAAGGTGCATATTATCATGTTATCTTAGAAGCTGGCATTTTCAGTTTTCTAAATTGTGATGTTTTCTACTTTAGTAAATTTAAATGAACATCAAACTATAGGAGTATTCTATTACGTGAATATATTATTGCCATTTCTGTAATGAGTCAACCGCTTAGGTTAAGCATCCTTTTATATCTGCCTACAATTTTACACTGGCTTCTTCAGAATAAATCGAAGAACTGAAATGCGTCTTACTTGTGAACAACTTTTAAACTTTGGAACGCAACTCTCAAATCATCCTCAAACATATAGCGGCGTGTGTGTCCCTATCCTGTAGCTTGGACAGCCTATTCAACATGCAACAGAGAAGTTCTGCAGCTTTTTACCAGAAGGGGAAGGCACAAAACAATGTCATTTGCACATCTCTGATTTAATTAACAGAAGCAGCCATGTTTCTGCATTTGTTACTCTTGCATTTCATTCCTGTGAATGTCTTAACCCAGACTTTTGCCTGTTTTTTTTTTTTGATTGATCATGAATGTTTACTGGTTTTAAGTGTTTCTTAAAAATTTACATTTCATGCTATTAGCATACTTAACAGATTTATTTCAAAAACTGGTTTAAAATACAACTATTTGAATGAACTTGGACACTTTCAGTGTGCTTTTGAGAAGGCAATGTGACATAGTGTTGAAACATGAACTTTGACAACCCTTAAATTCGAATCCCTGCCGGGAATAATCACTAGCCAGGGTTAGGATTAGAGATTCTTTGAGAAAAGTTTATAAATCACTTAACACAATATTGGAAATGAAATAAACATCCAGTAAAAGGTAACTCATAATTTTAATATTTGATTAAATTTTAGAGGTGTTTGTTGCCATTATATCAATGACTATATAAAAAATAAATGTATTCCATTGTCACCCTTCCAACAAACACCTGGTGAATAGGAAGGTTTCACTCACCTTTTACACATGTTAGTTCACCATTACCTCGAACAGGGCTAGATTCCTTTATCCTGAATTTCAAAAATAGGAGGAAGGGATGGAAAAATATCTATCCTCTTTAGTAAGGTGAGGTTGCAGGAAATATGTTTGTTGCAGGTGCTTCAGTGAAGTTGCTGCCACCTATGTCTTTTTCTCCAGGTTTTTGTGCTTTTCCAGGTGTCACCTGGAGTTGGAGGATGTGCTACCCGAGATGATCCCAGGCAGAGCCACCTTTACCAGTGTTTACAAGCTACAGCTGGAGAAACACTATGTGCTTTGTAGAAAATTTTCATTTGAGATGTCCCAACTGAAAGCTCATTCTTTCCCCTTCTATTTACAAGGCATCATACTTACCACAGGATGTAGTCAGTGAACTTTGAATGTCTTTGAAATGCTTTTTTTAGTCTTTTACTATTTTCTAAAATTCTGCCTTATGCACTAGAAAGGTCTCTATACATGAGCTCCCTTTTAATAATATTTCACTGAAAATATCATCTGGGACTTTAAAAGTAAGTCTCAAAGAATAATTTATTTTCTGTGATTGTCCTCCAGCTGTATTTGTCTAACTGTGATTCCTTAACTATCTTAAGTGACTGTTTGGGTTAGATCATCTCATTGGTTTTTATTCACTGGATATATATATAATTTTTTTTTGTTAAATGACCACCATGTGCCAGGCTGTGCCACATAAACCATGGATATAAAGACTAGTTTGTTCGCAGTGATAGATGACTTAAGAGAAAAGGCAGTAAATAAATGAAAAGGAAACTTATCCATCTAAGAAAAATATGCTAGGGAGAAAGGAAACAGACAGACATACCAAATGAGATTAGTCAGTGGGATGAAAATCACAACTATTGAGTTGTAATCTTTGTAAAAGACTATACTTTTGACACAAGTCTCATCAGTTACAGTTTTCAGGAATAACTTCAGAGGATAGAGTTTACTCTTTCTCATTTCTTCTTCTTATTGGAAGTATGAATTTAACAGAGGACCACAGGCTGCAACTGTTCAGTTGGTGCAATTTCTTTGGACTCCTTGATTGCCTTACAAAATCTGTAGCAAAGAATTCTCTTTAGGTTAGAGCCTGCTGGGACTCCGAAAGCCTGGAGTGGAAGTCTACAGTCTTCTATGACAAAACCACACCCCCACATTATTTTAGTTCCTTTTATGTTTAAAATTACTTTTAGCAAGCCCTGTATTTGGGGGTTGTAGTGGGGGCGGATCTGTGTACAATTTCTTGGTGTCACAATGCCATCTAACAAATTGTGAGGAACAATTGCATAATTAATTGCACCTCCCTAACAATGACTAGCTTGAGGACATGTGCTGTCTGTTACCTCCAGTGTCTAAAACAATCTTAATGCAAAAGAGATGACTTAGGAGAGGAGGACTGATGTGGTAAAGATTTCAACCTTGGACTGAATCTTGAAATAAAAATGTAGATAAGTAAACACTAAGAGGATAGGAATCTCACCTGTCCTGTTTCCCGACTTTCCCCTAAAGCCTAACTACAGGACATGAGTAAGCACTGCTTTGAAATCTGTTAGTCTCTATCTGACTGAAACTAACCTAAGCCCAAAGTCTTAAAGTGTGCTCTGAGGTTCAACAACGATGCTAACTTTAAAACAGAGTAAGGAAAAGCTGCAAAAATATACCACTCTGTTTCTCTTTGGGCCTTCTTACAAGGAATTCTGTGAGACAAAGATAGTGGAATTGTGTTAAGATACAGAAAGGTTTATGAGAGAGCATTAAAAATTGTAGGGTTTATTGGAGACTTTTTAAAATTGCTCAATGAAATGGATCCATTCTTTGAAAGAAGAAAACTCGAGTTTCATTTATTTTAAATCCTCTCAAGTTTTATGCATTTACAAACTTTCAGTTCTGAGACCCACTTCACTCCTTTCACAAGACACCTAAGCACATAACAATTTTTGGTAGTGAAAAAACCTTATCATCATAGAACATTTATCAAAAATACAAAAACCTTATTTTCTAGATGTTTATTAAATTGTTTCCTATCTCTATTTGGTAAAAGAACTCTATTCTGAATTCTGAATTTCTGATATAGAGTGAATCTGGATATGCATTTAAAATAAATGTGCTATTTATTTTTATTAAAATCCTTCTTTTAAAATCTCATGCAGCTGTCCTTTGAATTGAGAATTTATGGGAAAATATGTTAAATTTAAGACAATGTCAGTGGGTAGGTGGATAGGTGGGAAGTAAAGGACCTTTTGTGTTTTTTGCTTTATTCCTTCTGTCCCTACCCTATGGGTATATACCTATTTCAGAGATTCTTTCATGTCTCTTACATTGAAGCCTTTTATATATCTGTGGCTTCTGGTACAATATGATTGCTTGCAAACATCTTTTTCTCCAGTCATTACTTGTGCATAACAGGGAGTGTAAATGGGAAGATTTTGCATGAAAAAAAAAAAAGTCTATGAAAGTTACATGTTGGTGACATTCCCTCTGGTTCAGACTATTCTAAGTACTAAAAGGATATTTATATATGTCTGTCTCCTTTTTTACTAGGGAGTACCATTAAATGTAATTAAAAAACCAGAGACAAGACTATAGGTCACAGATCAGAAATAACTGTTTACTCTGTGAACCTGAAATGAACTTTGGAACTTCATTCCCCTTCCAACAATACAGCTGTGGATAATTGTCCACAGCTCTTGCCCTCAGTATCAGTGCCTAGAGAAACACCACCACCCATTTGCTGCCTCCCAACCCCACCCCAAACACACACAAGCAGTCAAATTTCTGTATATACAACTTTTATTTGTGAATCCACATTTCATATTTTACAGACATTATATTCTGTAGATTTCATTTTCTCCTTACAATATTTAGATTGGCCAAAAATCAAAGAAAATGTTATTGGATGTAGGCAGACATGATGAAATTTACTTAAGGCCTATGAAAACACCCACAGACCAAATTCCTGTGATAGGCTTCACCATGAAGTGTAATCACCACATTTGTTTCAAAGCTCAAATGCCAGTTCCTGTCATAGATAAGAACTTACCCAGAAAATAGGGCAGGACAGTTAATGTAGCTAATAACAAAGAAAAGTCAAAAGAGGTTGCTTCACAGACTTCTGCAGAAGATTGTGTGTTTCTTGCGCCATCCTGTCTTATCACTTTAGATAGGACCTGGCACAGTCCCTGCCGTATCTGCTCACCCTGCTGGAACCCTAATGTTTGTCTTTTCGCGAAGCATCTTTTCTAATTCTTATAAATATTTTAAAATTCTACTTGGTTTCTGGATGGTACAGAATTTTGTATGGAAGTGACTTACCTCATTGAAGAGGTGCTGACTAGAGACACAGCAATAAAATTAGGGTAAAGATTTTTCTGTGTTTGGAAAGCAAAATATAGCCTTATTAAAAATATTAGGATCAAGACATGTCGATTGATAAAAATGGGAAAGTGGAGGCCAGGGACATATTTTAAGGTGAGTAAATACTAAAAGGTGAGTGTGTTTCAAGATAAGAATTAATACATAGTATAAAAGGGCAACTAACAAAAAATTTAAATAGAAACATATGGGGATCTGTTTTATCTTAATAAATCAACACAGAATTTAGAGTCTGATATTTTCTTTAAGAACAGGAGATTATTATGACAAAGGAAAAAAAGCGAAATAGTTGTATATCATAAGGAGGTCATAATGACCCTTGTAAAATATAACAGAGGAGACAATGGTAAAATGCCAAAAAAATGCTAGACTATCTGTTCCTCACTTGTTTACCTGAAGAGCACCACAGCTTCCATCAAAGACTGAGCCCAAACAGCATCGCCTCCAGAAAGCATTGCTGATATTACTGAGCAGGACAAGGTTTATTCCCTGGATTGTGTTGCCTGTGCTTCCTGAACCACCACCCACCCAAGCCTCCATGGTAACATTTATCACCCTTTAGGGATCATTTATATTTCTACCTACCACCATCTCCCCAGTTCTGTAAGTGTTGTAACATTTTCTTCTCTATAATCCTGCTATCTGGCAAAGTGGGAGATTGCCTATCTAGTCAAGTAAGTTTTCCTAAGGTGCTTTATGTAGTGGCAATCATGCATCTGTAAGTGTTTTGGTGAATATATAAAATCAAAGAGACACTTCTACAAAGAAGTAGATATCTTTCTGCTAAGTGCAGATAAAAAGCTTAGATATTATACATAAACAAACACAGGAAGATTATAAAAAGTATGGAGAAAAAAGGTAGTCAGGTTGGGGCCTTGCGACCTGAAGAAAATACTGTGATAATTTTCCCATTTATGATCTAGTTCACATATTACATACTTAGAGTTGAAGAAGCCAGCAACCCAAAGTGTTGAGAACAGAGGAAAAGAAGCCCTAAGGAAAGGTAGGCTCTCTTGCTTTCTCTGGCTCTCTAGCCAAAGTGCCAGGAGAAAAATGTATAGTAAAATAATAACAATAATAATAATGGCCCTAGCCAAGCACCACAGAAGAGACTATGGCCCCATCTACCCTGCAAGGGCTGAATGGGGAGTCAAGGCTTCCTTCTTTGCCAAGTGCCCTAATTTTCCTGCCAGCATGATGTCATGAAGGCTGGATGAAGAACAGATCCTTTCTGGTGAAAATAAAGCTTTTCCTACCATAGTCTCTCAGTCCATACACAGTGGTGATCATGTGGGAGTAGGAAGGAGACATCTGCATATCCTACCAGAGAAGCATCAATGGAGCCTCAGTGGCAAGCTGAATCCCCACCCTGCTCAGCAACCCACAGATCCCCCTTTCATCCAGGTGTGAATGGAGGGGAAGTGCGAAACTTGGCTCCCAGCCACATCTGGCAGTGCTCCCAATTCTTTTGCTAGGGTGATATCAGAGAAAGTCAGTGAAAACAGAAAGTTAAATAAGATCCATAGTTGCATAACATAATACTAAAATTTCCAGGTTTCAATTGAAAACTATTTATCACACCAAGAACCAGGAAAATCTTTTCAAATGATAAAGCACAAGAGATGACAACATCAAGATAATACAGATGTCAAAATTATCTGACAAGGATTTCACAGCAGCCATCATAAAAATGTGTCAGTAAGTATGAAAATGCTTGATAGAAATACAAGTCTCAGCACAAAAATAGAAAGTCTCAGCAAAGATATTTTCAGTAAAAAAATAAAAGACTAACAATTATTCACTTTAGAATTAAAAGCACAATAATTGAAATCTAAAAACCAATGGATGCGTTCTACAACTGAATGATTAGACAGAGAAAGCATCCATTTACTTGAAACTAGACCAATGGAAATCAGGAAATCATCCAACCTTAGCAGAAGAGAGAAAATACACTGAAAACAAAATTGAACAGAACCCAGGGGCTTATAGGAGTAAAACAAGAACCAATGAAACTTTCTAAATTATTATATAATTTTCAGATGCAACTTGTATTTAAAGGTTCTGTGGCCCTGAGGCTACTAAAGAATGATTATCAAATGAAGGACAGATACAAATCTTTGGTGTAACAATACAGAACCTAAATCAAACCCAACGAGCCTAAGGTTGAAGGCAGACCTTGAAGCTTCACAGTCTGAGGCTAAAGTTAAAGTCTACCTGGGGAATTCAGGTTCATTTATCATGACCACCCAGAAGATGGGAAGTGAAGGCGCCATGTCTCCTCAAATCCATGGAATTTCAAAATGAACAGCTCAGCACAGCACAGCTCTGCTGGCAATGTCATTCTATGCAAAGAGGAAAATACTTCTAAAATCTCAATAAAAAAATGCCATTTTTGACAAGTTCTAAAGTTTCACCAGATAAGGCTCATTTTTAACAGATAAGCCACTTTTAGAGCTATTTTAAGCCTATGTTAATAACCACTGAGCAAACTGGGAATATTCCCCCCCCTTTTTTTTTGGTACAAATGCAGAGTAAAAACTTTGTAACAGGAGGTATACTCAATTCACAGATTGTCCCTTAAAGTTTAATGTTCATCTTTAAATTTGAAGAAACTCTAACACAATAAAAAATAATACACAGGATTACATATTTTGTCTTGAGAGAATAAAGGAAAAGATATGGGGTTTCTGAAATATTCTGGCTTCCATTGTTTTGATTAAAAAAAAAATGAAACTCCAAGTTAAAAGGAATTCAGAATCTCTCTTAAATCCCTGTAAAAATGCTGATATAACATGAATTTTTCCAAGCTTATTCATTAGTCTAGTGATTGCCAGTTCCATAAAAAATTATTAAAGATACTAAAATTCAAACATCTGGTGTCCAGATAAATGTTCACAGCTACTTCTGCCTTTATAGAGCAGTAGAAGAGCAGTGTTGGTGATGGTCTGTCTCTATTCCTCAAACTTGCACAGTGCAATCAACTCTTATTCATTCAAATATGTGCAAGGCTCAATAGGAACACACTCCTACCTCTGCAGTGAGGCCACAGTTTCCCTGAGATGCTCATATCACAGAGGATTCTCACTTCTAGCTCCGGTTGACAGCTTCCAAGCAATGCAATAGTGTGAACAGAGGACTGTATAAAATAGAATGTTCTTTTAAAATAAAATGGTGTGCTTTTGTAATAAGAAAAAAAATATCAGTCTTCTTGATTAAAGGTTTTCAAATACGTTTTCAATTTTAAAATATCTGAGACTGACTCTTTTCTTTCTTGATAGAAGCTGAGTCCAGTGATATGTTCAACATCTGTGAGTCGAGCCCTGTGCAATGTCAATAGCTCTTCAACCCATGAGGACTCATGCTTCCCATGCTGTGAGGAAGAAGGAAGAAAAGTCACTGGAGAACAGGCAGTCACTTCTGCTGCAAGGTGTCTATTTTTCCAACTTTATCAGTTCTGGCACTTTGGCTCCCAAATGGCAGATATCATAGATTGATAATGCATAATCCCAATTCTTGAGTAGTTTTCTGACTTATATAGACCAGGAACATTTTCTAAATTATATGTATCAAGTTTGGAGAAAGGAAAATATTCCTGCAACAGATGTTCTGAATTTCACTGGTATAAGAAACTTAGTGGTAGTGGTTTGGAAAATGTTGGAAAACAGAAGCAACACAGCATGGTATAAAAGAACATGGAAATGAGTTTGAAGAAACTTAGATTCCAGTCCTGGTTCTACCTTTCGCTTTCAGGTAAACTGAGGATAATTTAATATCTGACTTCTGACTCCCTTCTGTGTATCTTCCTTAAAGTACTGTAATGAGTATCAAGTGCCATGATATACACTAATGTGTGATACAAACACTGGCTCTTCACAGACTTTGTTCTCTAAATGGGTACATGATAAAGGGTCTGGGGAAAAATAGTACAACACTATAAAGTCTGGTGATGGCTAGTAATAACATCTTAGCTAATTTGAAATTAGAAAAGAATCTGAAAGTTGCTAGTGAGTAAATCTTAAAAGTTCTTATCACAAGGGTAGCATTTTGTGGCTCCACATGATGACAGATGTTAACTGGGCTGATTGTGGTGATCATTTTGCACTATATACAAATATATTGAATCACTGAAACTAAATTTAATGTTATATGACAATTAAACCATTAAAAAAAAGATTAAAATTAAAACAAATAAGTAAGAATTAAAGGTTGGTGCCTGACATATGGAAGCAGAGGCAGTAGCTGAGACAGGTGAGAGAAATGGAAATCAAACATCCATATGATGGTGTAAATTTTCCTAGATGAAGAAAGTACCTACTGGCTGATGGAATATGATTTTACTTTAAAGACATCCCTAAAGAGGATCATGCTTAGTTAAATAAGCCAGAAAGAAAAGGAAAAATACTGGATGGTTTCATTCATAGCAGGAGTGTAAAGGACCAGGGGGAAAATAATAATAATGAACAACTATATACCAGAGACATTTTATGGGGGTGGAGTGACGAATGGGGGGTAGGTGGGGAGGGGAATTGCACAGGACTATGATGATGGCACACGAGTGATTTGGTGATGGGAAGCCCACGGGAATTACAACTGAGATGGAAAAAGGCACAAACTTATGTAAAAAAAAACAAAAAACAAAACCTTACAATTAAAAAAATATAAGTCAAATAAAAATGAAAAAAGACATCCCTCAAGAAAGGTTCATGTGCCCTTGGGACATTATTAGTTGGAGAGAATAAATATAGGCTTTCACACAGAACATCTGAATAATTTCTACTTTTCCATTAACCCTCAATCACCCACTGTCAATACTGCTGCCCATTCAGCCTCCTGCAGCCAACCTGACCCTGGCTCTAAGGGTAACAGCCATGACTCATGACTCAGTGGACCATTTGGTCAATGGACATCTGGTATCTCTTCTGACATTCACAGAACATTTAAAAAGCATGCACAAAGCCCCAATTCAGCTAAGAGGAGAAATCAGTAAACATGTGGGATATAATTTCAAATATTCCTCTCACTGGTTCAAGTCTACTATTTAGTGTCCTCTATGTACATTACCATTATAGAAAATGAAAAGGTTTGCACTAAAGGTGTGGGTACAATAGTTGTTGACACCTAATTCATGACATTTATCATTTTGGTCAAAGAAATGTAAGCATAAGCCTGTTGACGACTTTTGGGGGAAGACACAGAAGTCAGAGGTAAGTAGAAGCCATCTTTCACACACATCAGCCACAGGCTAAGAACAGTGGCACAGAAAGACAGGAAGGGTCTGGTTCCCAAATGGTGCTGCTCATCTGATGCAGCAGCCTGTTTAACTCTGAGTTTCCTTTTTTTTTTTTTTGAGGAGCCCTTTACTAGCTCAAGTTACTACAACTAGGTTTTCTTTTTCTTTTTAAAGATTTATTTATTTATGCATACAGAACTGGGGTACAGCCCAGAGGTACAGGGGCCATTAAAGGATTTACTAGAGAGAGAGTGGGGAGCAGAAGAGGCAGAATGACGAAGTACACTGCTGAGGGGAGCAGCAAGAGAGACAGGAGAGGTCTGCATGCCATGTGGGTCATCTCCAGGATGGGATCGAACTCACACTGAAGCAGCTGCAGCTAGCTTGCAGTGCTGTGCCTTAACCCACTGTAACACCATGGAGGGCCAAGGTTTTCTACATATGCTTTAGAACACAAAGCTAACTGATACCTTTAAATTAAAGGCAAGGAAAAGATAACAATGAGGAGAATACTTGGCAAGTGTCCATAATACTGACCAATTAGCAGAGTAGATGCCCAAAAGGTATCTAAATAGTTACACTCCTACTATCCTCTGAAGAATAGAGAAAACATAGCTTTATAGGAAATGTATTCCATAAGGGACTGGTCATTTATTTCCTAAAGTTTATCAGAAAAATGTTGAGAGAGACATATCTTCATTCATTTTAATGACAGAAAGATTTCTAAACTGGAGTGGTCACTTTATTCTACTCGTGGGTCCACAGAAGAAACCACTTTTGTTTTTGTTTACTGCTGTGTCACAGCCGCTGTGTTAAATGAATGAGTGGTTGGATGAAATAAGAGATAAGTGAATGAATGAAGGGACAAATCAATGATGGAAGCACTTTCTCCTGTTGAGTTTAGACTGGGCCTCAAGATCCTTTTGACCATATGACTCACTCACCACTCATCCCATGAGGCTGGTAGGAAAGCTGAATCTGTTTGCCAACTCGTATTTAGACTTAATTTGTGTAAATTCAGTGGAAAAAAAAAACACGTAGGAAATCTGGGAAATACTCTGTAACAAGAATATTTTGGCCCACTGTAAGGAAAAACTTAAAAACTGTTAAAATTTTAATACAGTCTTAAAGTCCAATCGTTTCGGCTTAGATTTTTAAAAAAATCTGAGCCAATATCATGACATAAAACAATTATTTCCAAGCATTGGAATAACAAAATAGGAAAGATAATGAGGGACACATTTTAATAATGTTATATAGAGAGAGATAATTTGAAATGTTGTGTAACCACAACTTTGAGGCTAATTTATAGCAGTATTGACATTTTGTAATTACAGACCTGCTTTTGAAACAAGAGAAAATTCATATTTGAAATATGCCTAGAATGTAGTGGTAAAATCGCCAAATATTTACATTTTGATCTGATCTGTGGTATTTTCAGTAGACAAGGGTGACCTGAAGAGACCCCATCTTAGAGGATCAATTTAAAACCCATCTTACAATTTCAAAGTATATTTGTAATCAAGTTAAGGCTCCCCATTCCATTTGCAGATGTAAGAAACACACACAAATATATAAATATATTTTCAGTGTTTAAGATAAGTAAACAAAGGTTACTTACCGCACAGCTCTCACTGTTGTCAGTCCTGTGAGGCAAAATGAAAGCTAAGGTATCTAAATTTTCACACTGCAAGGGGGTCTGCGATATATTTTTACAGCTTGTGAGTACAACAAAGAAGTGAGTTGGAATCAGAATTTCTTGATTACGGATGTGTCTTCTGTTTCTGTAAGATACCGCAATATTCACTTTAAGAATGAAATAATTATCTTCCTTTCAAAGAATATTTCAGAATAACATATTTTAATACAACACAGCTAAAACAAAGATTCAAATAATTAAAGGCCTAATAAGAAGTTAGTAATCATACTATCTCCACATAGATTGAGAGAAATATTTCAAAGAGAGATAAACACAACCCAAATAGTTTTTAATTTCTATTGATATTTAGTGAACTTTGGAATTTTTGTAGTTCTATCTTAACACACTGAAATTGAGACACCAGAGAATAGAAAATGTAATTTTTGAACTGCTACAACCAAGATCCTAAAGCATTACTGTCTTTTAGGATTTTAGAGGAATGATTTGATTATGTTTTTTTATTCTAGTTTCATCAAAGAAACCACATACCATGAATTTTCCTTTGTTTCTTTTAGAGTTATCCCAATAGCTTTTTTTTTTAAAGATTTATTTATTTATTCATACAGAACTGGGGTACAGGCCAGAGATGCGGAGGTTGAGAGGATTCACCAGAGACAGAGTGAGGAGTAGAACAGGCAGATCGACGAAGTACACTGCTGAGGGGAGCAGCAGGTGGGTCAGGAGAGGTCTGCCACGCCCCCAATAGCTTTTTAATTGATGCATATTCTCAATATTATCTCAGTATCATTACCTTACCTTAACACTATCTTTGGGTATCAAAGTTAAGCTGATTGGTTGGCTTTTCAACATATTTCAAACTCTAAGGTAGTGGGATCACTGCTTTCAAATAAAATCTTACAAGAATCATAACACGTAAATGGGATTAGATGGAGCTGTGAGTGGGAAAAGATTAGAGTTCTCTCCTTTACCCATTCTACTGTTGTGTGTCCTATGAGGCAGTTACAGGGGGACATGAAGCCTTTAAGGATATAGTTTGAAAAATGGTTTTTTTTTTCATTATTGTAATTTTACAAACTAATAGAGCCACAAATACATGTGTGTAGAAAGGATCCCTAAAGCAGCCTGAGGGAGCAGGAAATCTCTCAGACCAGAGCTGAATCTTAGCAGAAGTGGCAGTCTCTTTTTCTTACACAAACGGTTTCCACAAATGTAATTATTGTTTAAAAAAAGACCAACCAGCTCCTAAAATGTTTTCTCCATCTCATATTTAAAATATAATGCCCTGGCAGTTTTCTCAAAAAGGTTGCTCTATCATTCCCCTCCAGTCAGGGTTCAGTCAAAGCTGTGACTTTCAACCCATGCCCACACTCCCACACAACTCCGTTATGACCCGGGGAGATTCGTGGACACAACACAAGTCCCTTCATCTGCTCACTGGCAGTATATATATTGAGACAGTTGCTCACCAATTAGTTAATGCTACCTTCCTAGCATACTGTAGAGCTCAGCATTAACTCCGAGCTCAAGAATTACACATCTGACTACATGGGGCAGAACAACTACTTCATTCATTTAACGAATATTTTTCTCAACACTGAACAAAACTTCAAACTAATTAGATATTTCAAGGGGTTTCCAGTGTAACCAGAAAAGACATACAAAAGGACCAGATAGGAAACTTCTGCTGACTCACAGTTGAGAGCTATATTTAAGAGCAAATAAAATGTGTTCTTACTTCTTCAGCGTGTCAGGGGAGTCATAACGTCCATCATAGTCGAAGTCAAACACAGGACCGCTGACAACGTTGACGCCATTCCGTTCTTCCGCATACTTCCGCAGGAGGGCGCCATGGAAGTAGCGCCACACAACTTAGGAAGAAAGGCATGGTGTGTTCAAAAGACCGAAGAGCCTTGATATCTCGTGAAATAATCAATCCTGTCATTCAAACTTAGCATTTGTAATTTAAAAAAAAATCAAGTCTGACTTGGGTCTTAGTTTGAGGTCATCAACATGAACTTGTGATAACGTCACTATTTTAAGTGTAAAAACTTCACCAACACAAACAAGGCAGGTTATTGATTTATGTTGAATATCTGAATATTACCAACAAATATTCACATGTAGGCTAAATGAAAATTAGAGTAAAATTTTCTTACAGACTCCATATTTTAAAATTCAATACATCATTTTAAATATAAATGCTTATTGATTCTTCTTAGATGTCAAATGCTACAAAAACCAAAGTAAATGTGTGAATGGGTAACACTAGTTAGGTATCCACAGGGAGAATATTACATACTTTTTGCACCCAAAAAATGTTTATAAACCTTTCAATACAAAGCAGAAAAACAGACTATTAAATATCAAAATTCTTAAATTTGTAATGATTTATGTGTACTAGCATTCTCAACTAAAAGACCTGAAAGGTAATGGACAGCCATGTAATTTAGAATTCTTATTACATATAAATTATACCATGCAGACAGAAATTAATCAGAATTATAAAATATAGGGTTAAAATGTTTTACCTTGGAAATTCTGGTACATTGGCACTATATTAGTAGTAAGCAATGCTTCAGAATATGTTTTATTTGAAACATTATTTAGTTCTACAAAGAAAAACAAGAGAACAACTTTTTCATTCTTCATAAACATTAAAAGAGTTGTAGCTTTTCACAGGTGTGATTTAACAAATTTAGTCAAATATCATCTTAAACCTATAAAACTTTTCCAAGTCAAGGGAAAATGTAATATATTTTTCAAGTACTTTAAAACTTCAGTAAATTAAACATACCCAAACTTTCTATGTTATTTGCCATATTTCAACTAAAGTATATTGTGCTGACATTTTTTTTTCCCTTAAATTCTTTTATAGTGAAAAGAGAAAAGAGACTATCTGGCTTCACAACAACCTACCATCCAGAAAAAACATGACAGGATGTCGCCTCAAAATGCTGTACAAGGCTTCTTTATATGAATTTTTGTCCTGGATCTGGTCTATTTTTATAATGCAATAGCCAAGTTCTGACTTCAGACACTCACTCTGGGGACTGAAATGAATGTGGAGGGTTTTTGAGCACCTGAAGCCTTCTGGGTTTTACCTTTTAAAGGTCAGCTTCAAAATGTCCTATCATTAACATACAAATATGCCACTTTAAAAAATAGAGCACTTGACTTCCAAAAAGCTATTCCCTGGAGGCTTTGGATGAAGAGAAAACAAGTAACATTTTAGGCTCTATGTCTACTAATTCTGGGACAAGTTATTACACAAGAAAATGATCATCTCTCCTTAAGGATCCTGATGCATCCTTCCAGCTCTACTGATTTTTTTCTCAAATTCTCTTTAAAAGAAAGGCAGAAAAAAATGAAGAATATGCTCTCTACAGTATCTGCACTAAATCAACCACAATCCAAGCATCAATAAAATGATTTCCAAATTCAAGCTTTATATACTTTGAAATTTTTCCTATTAGTTATATTTCTCATTCACAAATTCCACAATAAAAAACAAAGCTATGTACTTTGCACCAGAATATATGGTGGATTTATAATAAAAAAGAAAGAGAAGAAGCAGATAAGGTAAAGGGAGCTGGGAGTAAGAGACTTACGTGGGGGGAAGAGGAATCCATAACTCAGTTTAACGTTGTTTTTATAAAATGAACATTTATGAGCAGGACTAAGAGAAATTCGGAGATCCTGGTAAAAACAGTTGGAAAAGTCTTCTTTAGAAAAATTGTTCTGAAAATAAAGTAAAAAAAACCATCAGGCACCAGGTACATAAAAGAAAAGCAGCTTGCTTCATAAGTGGTTAAAAGTGAACGACATCATGCAATTATGTTGTTCCTAATGTCTCATGCATCCTTCACTATTCATACACTATTTTTTCATTTTTCTCTGAGTATATTCATTAAAGATCTGAGTCAATCTTCCATGCTAAACTACCCAGAATAAAGATAGGTAGTGAAAAAAAATCACTGAATACTAATGCATAATGAAAACTTCAGAAGTAGGCATGACTGTGATTTTATGCAGTTTTGATTATATAAGAAAACTAGAATTCCCACAGAATCCAAAAACACCATAATTAAGGCCCTAAATTCAGTACATAAGATGGGGACAAATAAAACATTGTGTGGACTGCTATACATTACAGAGCCACGTAAGAAGCATTTCTAGATAGTCTTCAAAAATTTAAAAAAAAAAATGTTTAAGTTAGAAACTTTATAAAAAATAAGTGAAAGCATATATATTTTCAATACAGAAATTGCATATGTACACATAGGTTCTTTTTTTTTTTT